CTGCAGGATTGCAATGTTTGTGTGCCTATCTAAACACGAACTGTTCATTGCACTAGTGCAGGCATAGGCAAACTTTGCCCTTCAAATGTTTTTGGGACTACAACTCCCATCATCCCTAGCTAACAGAACCAGTGGTCAGGGATGATGGGAATTATAGTCCCAAAACATATGGAAGGCCGAGTTTGCCTATGCCTGCACTAGTGGAACAGCGTTAAAACAAGCGTAAGGAAGAAGAGGATTGATTGGCAGACCATATTTTGCTCTGAAAGCTACAATATTTTTTTTCCTTCTGGCATTTTAGCGCGGTCTATGGATATTTCAAAAGGCCTGGTTGCTTTCTTACGCAGTAAACTGACACACACATAATAATCCATTTGCACACAAAGACTCGGGTTTTCTTTTTCTGGATTCTGGCTTTGACTCTAGATTTTTTAGCTAGTTGCTCTTTTTGCTTTTGAAGAAACTTCTCTGAATTTTGAATCGTCTTTTTTTTAGGTCCTCCAGGGCATATTTAAATTTTTTTTTAAAGGATGCAACCACACTAGGCTACTGCTTTCATTTTTAAAGTAACACTGCTTTGAGAGCTGTCATTTACCTAAAGCACTATTAAAAAGTAATCATAGGAAAACAATGTGAACACACAGGAAAAAGTTCTACTCAAAACTTAAATATAGAGAGCGTTTCTTTTTGTCTGTAGAAGTGCTGCTGCTTCTCCTGGTGCTTATTCACCTGGGTGAATAAAATTTCTCCTCTCCACCCCCAAGTTCTGTAGTTCAGGCTCTGCTAATATAAAGTTACATTTAGTTTGTGACTTAAGACGGAGAGGGGCAGAATGACATTTTGTGTTTTCTCTTTTTTATTATTCGTAGCCATGACTTGAAGGCCAGTTTCAGAGGAGCAAACGTGGGAAGCAAGAACATTTAGACTATTGTAGGCGCTTACGTAAGGATTCTGGGCCCAATTCTGCCTATGGGGCAGGAGACAAGTGTGGGCTTCAGCTAGCTCTAAACATACAGAGTCTTTGGATTGGTTCTGGTGTTCCCTTGCTCAGATTGTTCCCAGTTCTAGAGAAGGCATTGCGTTACTTTCTTTCACCAGCATCTTTCAACAACAAATACCATTGAAGGCGGCGTTGCAAGGCCAGGTTAACATGCAAGTTGCTCCTCACCCCTGTGTTAACGTTGCATCATTCTACCTAAGTTACCCTATTCTACGTCAGCTCCAGAGGAAGCAACTAGATGTTTGGGGCCTGACTCCTGTGGGTATTTTACTATATATAGGTTTGTGCGTGTTGTGGTCTTTCCACGAAATGGAAAAGCCAGTGACACACACAGAATGCTCTCTTAAAGCCTGGGTAGCGCCTGCAAACATCTGGCTATTTTGCACCTCCAATAAGAGAGGTCCTACTTCCCATCCAGCCCATGATGGGTTTGTCAAGAAAGGACCCTCAAAACCCAGGAGTGTAAGGAGAAAGGTAACAAAAACAAAAGACTCGAGACGAGTTTTGCCATCTGCTTTTTTTAGCTGAAGCTGGCCGTTTTGAAGCAATGCATAACTTAGCCAGCTACCTGTCTCTATCACTTCCCGATGATAGAGTCACTTGCACTTTCTGGTAGGTGGCTAATTATGTGAAGTGCCAACTTGTAGCTAGTCAGTGAATTTAAAAAGGAGAAGAGTAGCCAATGGAGGTGGGAATCAGACTGCATTTTCCCTCTTGGTGGTACAGAAAGGGAATATGTTATATGTTTTCTAAGAAGAGGTAGACTCACAAAGGCTAAGTTGATAGAGAGATGCAAGGGTGGGGGGAGGTATCATCATCGGAAATGCAAAGCACACTTGCCACGCTGACATTTTGAAAAATATTGTATTTTTGCATACTGTTAACTGTTTAAATAATATTGTTACTTCCACTAAATATGTGAATCTGCTGCTTCTGAGAGGCATTGTGAAAGAGGAAGTATTACTTTTGTGTACAAAGTTATTTATTTATTAGAAAATTTTGGTACAATGTTGTACATTGACAAAGTACATTGTAAAAATATTGGAAGTGTCCTAACAAATGGCATTGAAGTGACTTTAATAAACGCCCATTTATAATATCAATGGTTTCTGTTTAGATTAGGGTCTGTGATTATTGTTGGGTGGGTGAATGGGGTTAAGAGAAAATGCCACATTGCTACGTGAGTGGAATTTGCAAAACTCCTTTTTAATATGCAGTCCATCCTACATGCAATTAACTAGAGAACAAGTCCCACTGAGCCAAAGTGGAACTTAAGAGCAAATAGGCAGAGGGTTGTACTTTCATTATCATTGATAAGTAAAGTTTTTAGGTGGTTTTGCTAACACCTCTCTCTGTCACCATGGGCCAATCTTATGGGCAAAAGCGACTGGGGAATTTGGCAGTGTGCCATTTTGCCACCATCAATAGTGTTATATGGCATGCCCTACTCAGCTTTCTCTCAGTCTCTCTCACCATATGAAATGGAATCTGAATTTTCGAGCGTCTTGGAAGCTGAACGATTCGGAAGCCGAATGCCAAAAACCCGGAAGTGAATGCTTCTGTTTTTGAACATGCCTCAGAAGTCAAATGGCTTCCAAGGATCGTTTCTCCATTTGCTCCATTGACATTGCCGACTGCCAATTGCGCCTCGGTTGTCGCACGTTTCAGAAGTTGAATTTGTTCTGGAACAAATTATGTTCAACAACCGAGGTTCCACTGTATCGTCTTCACCAGTTCGCTCCCAGCTTGGAGCTCCCCTTCACCCTCTTCCATGAAAGATCCAACACTTATTCTAAGCCTCCCTACAAAGCCGACTTTTGCTCCCAAACCATGACATGTTACCTCTTAAACTGGGCTGAAATTTCACTTGCTATGAAGAGCAATCAGAAACATTGTTCTAACACTCTCACAATATATGGGAATACTTTTGAAAGAAACTGCTAAATTATTGGCTTTGTTTGTTTTGTTTTGTTTTGTTTTGTTTTGCAGAAGAACTGCTATAGAATGAGGGGATGTCTCAAGATGAAGGTCTGTAAAAATACGAACTGTGAGCAAAAGGAGAATTTGCAGGCCCACGCAACACATTTCAAGCATTAGTGGCAAGGCAAGAGAAACTCATCTCAGGCTTGTGTTGATACAAAGGACATACAAAGCACATAGCCAACTGGGAACAGGTCAGGAAATGCTTGATTGAAAATATCTAACAGCCATGGCTTCAAATGGGCATGAAGTAAATTGGACCAAAAGGAACTCTGGACTTCTCTCTTCTTTCGTATTTTTGGTATCCAGGCATGCTTGAACCCTCAGTAGATGTCACTGAAATCCAACACAAGCTCACTTAACATATTTGTAAAGGACATAATTCGGGGGGGGGGGGAGAGGTTGACAACATGGCTTAATTCACAGGGTTCTAAAAATTACATGGCACTGAAGAAGAGTTCTCTGGCTATTGCCCATGAGAGCTGACTAGAACCTTGTATGTTTGAGAGGCAGCGTAAATCCAAGCATCAGACGATGAGAACAAAATAGGATGTTTTCCAGGAGACAGAGAGAGAGGGCTGTTGGAATGCTGGAATAGACAAGCTTTTACTCCGAGCCAACAAAGCAGTTCTTGAACGTTCCATCTGAAAATCTGAAACTGCTTTGCTGAGCAAGATTATTGGCACAACATTGTGTCTACAAAAAAGCTTAATTAGTAGTTATGTCTCCAACTTAAGCATCTATATTATGTGGGGGAATGGTGTGTTTCCCAGGAACTCTGGATTATCTCCTGCCTGGGTAGAACATGCCACAAACGTTATCTAGACATCATTGCTTTGTGATAAGGGCAGGTGACAAAAATTATTCTTCAATGGCTTCTTTCAATTCACTGCCAAGACTGTTTAAATATTAAACTTTAAAGACCTGATGAACATTTTGCCCTTTAATCTGCATTATTTCTGTTTGCTTTTCCGTAAGTGGCTAGAATTCAATGAGACACTGTGACGAATGTTCTGCCCAAGCAAGCATTTCAATTGCCAAGTGGTACGATAGTGCCAGATTTACGTATAAGCTAAGCAAGCTATAGCTTAGGGCCCCACTCTCTTGAGGGTCCCAAAAAAATGTAAAGGAAAAAATATATAAGATGAAAAACAAATAATGAAAAACCTACATACAGCAACAGTGTTTTGTGTTGTGTAGGCTCCTATGATGTAAGTAATGGGTCCCACCTGCTAGCCTACTCCCTAAAATATCACTGGTTTGCTCATTTCTATATACAGGGTGCCTACATTCTGCATGGACTGGTTGCAGGGCAACATGTGCAAATGGCTTGAGATACCTATTAGGTCCATAAATTACCATGTAGCATATATTCAGCACAAAAAACAGCGACAATTTGTTGTTGACAAAGGACAGCTAGACATATAAAGGGCCCCATTACCTTCCGTAGCTTAGGGCCTCATCCAACCTCAATCCGGCCCTGGGCACGATCCCCCAGCATGCAGTTCTCCTGACACACAGACACCCAGCACAGAGGGGAGAAAGCCCCTTTGGGCAGTTAGAAGTCCTTGCACATGCCGTCGGTTGGCAGGGTTCATTGGGTGAATCCTGCCCAGTGTATTTACATCCGAGCGTAGCCTTAAGCTGCAAAGCGGACAGCATCTCTCAGGGACGGCATCAGAGACATGCAAGTAGCAAACTTTGCACCCAGCTTTCTTTTGTAAGCAGCTTCACAAGATGCGCTTACAGGTGGTTACCAAGCAGAGTAAAAAAATCAGAAGCCCAATTCACAATGTTACCCTGAGGACCGAAGGCACAGACTGCAACTCATCACTCCCTCCAGGACAGGCCCACCAATTCTTGCTTTGTTTGCTGCACTATTCCTCAAATAAAAGGGGCTGTAAACGGCACCCTTACCCATTGCCCCCCTTTTTGTTGGCCATCCCCCTCCCCTTCTTCACGTTCTGCAAGACTGTGCTGCCCGTGAGGTGGGAGGCGGGTAGAAAAACCAAGAGCATTGTTTCATTTTCATAGGCAACCTTGTTAGACAGTAAAATAATACAACATTGTACTTTTACTGGAGAAATCTGAGTCTAATTAAAAAAGGCAGCCTTGCTTATCCAAGCAAGAATGCTTGCTATGCACCTGCAGGTAGGAACAGTGGTCTAAACTTTCCAAATGGGGTTCAAACCACACACACACACACTTAAGGAAAGAAATCCCTGCGCCTGTCCTCTTTTCTTCTGTCCTCTGGAGCATGGCAGGCCTGGGGTAACGTAAATGCTGTGATGCCAGTCTCACAAAACAAATGAGTGCTCCTTTTATTCCTTCCATGCAGTGCAGGCCATGTTCTTCTCATTTGCACATCATTTTCCCTAAATGAGTTCTAATAATAATGCCTTTCAGGCACAAGGCTGGAGCCCATAAAACGAGTCATTTGCCCCCCAAAGTTGCCTTTCTTGGCATGCTCCTTCCAATGAGCTCACCACTCGAACAGGGGTTTCCATACAGGGACATTTTATACTAGGGAAACGGAATTAAGGGTTTTCTTTTCTTTCTTTCTTTTTTTAAATAATAGTGAGAATAGAGTCCAGGCTGTTGAACAGCTGCTGAGCCACAGGAGGCAGGACCCAGGGCCTGCGGGGAGATCAACTTGTGGGAAGGCAAATGAATAACTTCACAAATGTGCATTTTTTTCCTTAGGAGAAGGGGGGAGGGAGCAGCTCCTCAGCTGTTCCTTTTTGAGTCCCAGAGCCAGTTCACAAGAGCAAACGGCGTATCTTGTCATACATCCCCAGGAAGATAAAGCCTCCAAGACTGATGGCAGATATTCGAGGGACAACGCCTGCAAACAACCTGAAAAGAGAGAGAGAAAGAGGGAAGCAAAGATTATTTTAAGTCTCTTATCAAGATGCATACAATCACATACGTTTGGATCTGTTGCAGGGCCGGATTCAGATTTGAGGAGGCCCTAAGCTACTGAAGGTAATGGGGCCCTTTATATGTCCAGCTGTCCTTTGGCAACAACAAATTGTTGCTGGTTTTTGTGTTGAATATAAGCTATATGGTAATTTATGGACCTAATAGGTATCTAGAGCCATTTGCACATAACAGTCCATGTAGATTGTAGGCACCCTATATCTAGAAATGAGCAAACCAGTGACATTTTAGGGAGCAGGCTAGCAGGCGAGGCCCATTACTTACATCACAAGAGCCTACACAACACAAAACGCTGTTTCTGTATGTAGGCTTTATTTTATTTTTTTATCTTATCTTTTGGAAATGTACACCCAGGTGTTATTTTTCCTTTACATTTTTTTGGGGCCCCCCAAAAGAGTGGGGCCCTAAGCTACAGCTTGTTTAGCTTATACATAAATCCGGCACTGATCTGTTGGATGTAGCTTCACAACTTAAGGATTTCCATCAGGCATTTCTCAGACTACGGTACCCAACTTGACTAAGTGGGAAGGCAGTGAAGGAAGGCCAGATCTGGGGACAATCTGTTACTGAACGAATTTAGAATGGAAAGAGAAAGGGTACCACATGTCACCAATAGTTGCCACCTAAAACCACAACCAATGCATAATTGATTATTATTTTTTTGTCACTACCGGTGATTTTATACGTAATTGAAATTTGTATTTGTTGTTGTTTACTTTCTCATTGGGACTGTGCACATTTTTGGCCCGCATTCTTCGGGCAAAGCGCATATTGTAAATACTTCAAACAGGTAAATAGTAACAGACTTGACTTCTTCCATTTCATTGCTATTTTACTCCCAACTTTCACATCTCTCTCCGCCACCTTTACGCCCGTCGAGATATATCTGCCACCCAAGAATCTGCGTCTGCTGAAGTGCCCCAATCCATGAAGGTTTATGCCATAATAAATCTGCCAGTCTTTAAGGTGCCACGGGGCTCTGTTGGTGGTGCACAAAACTAACGCAGCTACCAGTCTGGAAACTGATACAAAGGCTAGTGAGGTATTTAAAAGGTACAGCTCTGCCATTAGTAAGGGTTTCGTTCAAAGGGCAGGTGGCAGCATTGTGGACTGGGAGGCTACAGTCCTTTCCTAATCTTGGGGAAGAGAGATGGAGAAATTCAACCTGGCAGTCAAGAAGCGATTTGTCACTCCCACACAATGGGGTTGTTTGCTTCTAGACCAGTTCATTTGGGTCCAGCTTTCCTGTGAATTAACAATTTGCCAACGAGAACACCAAAAATGTAAAAAAAAGTGCGGGGATCTGTCAGGCTATATAACACTGGCTCACACCCTACCCCTTTGACATACGGAAGAGGTTCTCCCTAATTCCAAGCACATGTTGGCTGGTTGTGACCCACGGAGTGACGTAAGGCAATCCTTTTTATGATCAGCAATATATTTCCTGGAATGAGCTGGCGGCACTAAAAATAGATTCTCACGTTAAGCTCCAGTGGTGGATCCTGGCTCAAATGAAAAGTCCTCTTTGGCTGAAATAATTAATTCTTTCCATTCTGGTTTATGAGAGATTGAATGAGTATCTGTTCAAAACCTGCTGGGCAATAAGCAGCAGGTGCTTCCTGACTTTTAAAAGCTTTGCTGTATGTGTCGAATTTAAATGCGGAGGATGGGTGTGTCTATGCATTCTCCTAAAAATGCATGAATTCAATAACTGATTATGCAGGGTGACTAAGTTTCTACATGAGAGGTGCTGGGGGTTCAACTTTCTCTCTCACCAACAAAGACAATCTGTCTTTCTGCAGGTGCCAAGTGCTGTTCAGCAAGGACACAATGACACTAAATAATAATAATAATAATATTTGTACACTCTGTACATGTTCAGTGGCATTCATTCCTTTACATATGTTGTAAGGAAATGTAGGAGGTGCAAGACCTGCATTCCCAGCGCCTTAAAAAGCAATCAGCCATCCTTGCCCTCGCTTTGACCGCACAGCTTAAACATTGAAATCCATTTCAGAAATGATATTGCAGAGCGAAGAGGAAATGTGGATTAAATGTCAGCAAATAAATAAGACTAGCATTTGTAAGAATATTGCTATTACTTATAAGTAGCAATAAAAGTAAATTAGAATAGTATGATGACAATACTATTATAATGATGACATCGCATAGATTTCTTTGTTAGCGTAGCACTGATTCTGCAATAAATCGGGAAGCAACCCTGGAAGAGAGCAGCGGGCTGGAGACCTCTTCCCATCAGAAAAGGCTGCTAGATTCAAGGTGTTTCAGTGCAGGATAAAGGTGGCTGGAAGGAAGAGGGGAGGAAGAAGAGGCCATGATGCATACATAAGGCCCTTGGAGAGAGCCAGTGTGGTGTAGTGGTTAAGAGCGGTAGACTCGTAATCTGGGGGACCGGGTTCGCGTCCCCGCTCCTCCACATGCAGCTGCTGGGTGACCTTGGGCCAGTAACACTTCTGTGAAGTCTCTCAGCCCCACTCACCTCACAGAGTGTTTGTTGTGGAGGAGGAAGGGAAAGGAGAATGTTAGCCGCTTTGAGACTCCTGAAGGGGAGTGATAAAGCGGGATATCAAATCCAAACTCCCCCCCTCCTCCTCCTTCTTCTTTTCAACTCTGTGAGGTGGGTGAAGCTGAGAGAGAGTGTGTGTGGTTCAAAGATGCCCTAAACAAGCTTCGTGGTTTTGTGAGGATTTGAAATCTGTCCTAGCCCACTCAAGTCTGTCCTATGCTACTTGAGTTCTGGTATGGAGAAAGTGGATGGAGATGGGAGTTTTTTTCTGGTCCCCTGGATAAGGAAGTTCAGGTAATCCAGGGACACTGATGGACAGGAGATACAACGCAGACAAAAGGAAGTGTTTCCATACACATCAAACAAGGGAGGCAGAGACTTTGTTCCCACAAGATAACAGTGGGGGCTGCTGGCTTAGCCGGCTTTAAGGGGGGATTACGCAAATTCATGGAGGATAGAACTGTCAATAGATATGAGTCATAGCTGCTCCAGGGAACAAGCAGGTTCAGAGGCAGCACACCTAGAATTACTAGCTGCTAGGTAAAGGTACCCCTGCCCGTGCGGGCCAGTCTTGACAGACTCTAGGGTTGTGCGCCCATCTCACTCAAGAGGCCGGGGGCCAGCGCTGTCCAGAGACACTTCCGGGTCACGTGGCCAGCGTGACAAGCTGCATCTGGCGAGCCAGAGCCGCACACGGAAACGCCGTTTACCTTCCCGCTAGTAAGCGGTCCCTATTTATCTACTTGCACCCGGGGGTGCTTTCGAACTGCTAGGTTGGCAGGCGCTGGGACCGAACAACAGGAGCGCATCCCGCCACGGGGATTCGAACCGCCGACCTTTCGATCGGCAAGCCCTAGGCGCTGAGGCTTTTACCCACAGCGCCACCCGCGTCCCACTAGCTGCTAGGTGGCAACAAATAGGACGTGGGTGGCGCTGTGGGTTAAACCACAGAGCCTAGGACTTGCCAATCAGAAGGTCAGTGGTTCGAATCCCCACAACGGGGTGAGCTCCCGTTGCTCGGTTTCTGCTCCTGCCAACCTAGCAGTTCGAAAGCACGTCAAAGTGCAAGTAGATAAATAGGTACCACTCTGGCGGGAAGGTAAACAGTGTTTCCGTGCGCTGCTCTGGTTTGCCAGAAGCGGCTTAGTCATGCTGGCCACATGACCCGGAAGCTGTACGCCGGCTCCCTCGGCCAGTAAAGCGAGATGAGCGCCGCAACCCCAGAGTTGGTCACGACTGGACCTAATGGTCAGGGGTCCCTTTACCCTTTACCTTTAGGTGGCAACAATGGAAAAGGGATGTTGCCTTCATGGCCTGCGTGAGAGCTTTCCAGTGGGATTTGGTTGGCCACTGTGAGAAGCAGCATGCTGGACTTGATGGGCCAATTGTCTAACTTAGCAAAGCTCCTCGCATGTTCTTGTGCTTGCTATACTGTTCTGTTGTGCCCTGGGGTCACAGGAGGATATGGGATTACTTTGATACATCCCAAAACTCTTGAAACAACCTCCCCACCATCACAAACCCTACATGTATGGCTATGTAGGTTTTTTTAAAAACAAATACCCAGTTTACCCAGGCAAAAAACAATGTTGCACAAGGAAAAAGCAACATTCCTCTCCTCTCCTACTCCAGTGTAGTGTAGTGGTTAAGAGCGGTGGACTCGTAATCTGGGGAACCGGGTTCGCTTCCCCACTCTTCCACATGCAGCTGCTGGGTGACCTTGGGCCAGTCACCCTTCTCTGAAGTCTCTCAGCCTCCCTCACCTCACAGAGTGTTTGTTGTGGGGGAGGAAGGGAAAGGAGATTGTTAGCCGCTTTGAGACTCCTTAAGGGGAGTGAAACGTGGGATATCAAATCCAAATTCTTCTTCTTCTCTACTGCAGTCCGGCACCCTCCACAAATCTACACTGGACGCACCCCCAAGCAGATTTTAAGAGTCAAGGAGGGCTGCAGGGGGCAGGGGGAAAGAAGCTCTGTTGCAGCAGCAGAAGTCTGTTCAGTTTGTGTACAGACAGCTTTGGGTGCACCCCAAATCTTGCAACTTGAGTTCCTGCAGCAAATTCTGTAGTGTGAGGCTGTTCCACCAACAGGAAGAAACATGGTCATGCTTAAGTCCTCCATCTCCCAATCAACTGCCCATTGGCCTCAGGTTTTCTGCTCATTGAAGGCAAATTCAACTCAGGGAAAATAGTGATGGGAAGGTCTGGATTTCAGCACTTCTGAAAGAGGATATAATCCTCTATGGGGATAGGTTTTTTTTTATGTCTCAAGGCTGCTCCAGTAATCCTATGCACAGGCCATTCACTGCTCCATTACATATGTAATCTTTACCTCTTCCCAACTGTACGCCTTCAATATGCTCCTTTAAAGAAACCAGGTTCTCATAATCC